GTCTTTATTTTACAGTTAAAATAAATGTTTATTAAATAAAGTTTAATGTTACAACTAATCGTGGATCCCTTTAAAAGCCATAAATAATCTACCAAACATTAATTTACTGATTGTTTCTGCTCGGTCCAAAAACAGTCTCAGACAGAAGAAAACAACGATTAGTAACAGTTCTTTATCCAAACAGAACCCCATCAGTGTATCCTGGTGACGGTGGGAGGAAATGACTCAGTTTTGGACAGTCTTTAAGGACGATGAAAACTGTCTCACCAAGTCCAGAGTCCACGTCTGCTGAAAACTCTGAACTCTAAATTAAATCTTGTTCAGATTAGACTAAGTTATAAACAATGTTTAAATGTCAAATACAGAAAAATGTGTTATTTTAAATCCATTTACATTTATTTGAAATATTGAATCATTTCAACAGAGACTCAAACCAACTTTGGCGACCGATGATCTAAAGCAGGGGTGGGTGGTCCTGGTCCTGGTGAGGTTATCAGACTGTGATCCAGCTGTAAGCTCAGGATGTAGAAGAACCAGAATCTGGAGCCGGTCTTTACGATGATCTGACTCATGGGGGTTTAGACCAGAGCAGAACCGGACCGGGGGGTCAGAGGATCACTTTGGTACACGTTGCTCTGGATCAGGGGCGGTTCCAGGGGCGGGGCCACAGGGGCATTGGCCCCAGCTTGAATCTGATTGCCCCCCTGAAGTGTCCCTGTCCTGTCACTCATCTGTCCTTTGCCTGGGGGAGATGATGCACTTCCATGTTCAAACACTAGAGGTGCTAATGAGTCAAATATTAAAGTCCAGAATGAAGCAAGATATTCTTCTCTTCTTGAAATGTGAACTATCCTGCAAAAAGTCTTTCAGCTGACAAATGATGGCTGGATTTTCTCACATGTTGTGTTTGAAAATATCTAATCTATGTTGAGTAAAATGTATGAAAAACTGGTGAAGAGAATTTACTGTGCAAGATTTTTGGTAGCACTTTACAATCAAACTCCCCTTGGCTTACTGAGAGTTTATAGAAAGGTTATTAATTCATTTGTAAAGTTTACATTTTATAAATCATTAATAAATGAAACTGGACAATTTTGTCTCTTTCTTGTCCTTAATTATTGCATAATAAACACTTAATAATATTTTTAAAGTGTTTACAGATTAATTAATAACCTATCTCTAAACTCTTTAAAAGCCGTCTATAAGGGGGGCCTTACTGTAAAGTGGTACCTTTTTAAAAAAAAATAACATTACATTACAAGTGTTTGAAGTGTAAAATGTATACACTGGGAATTTGTGTGAAAGGATGTTGAACAAAGACTTGGTCCCTCTATGAATATTGTGGGTCCTTGATGGCCCCTGACTCAGAAAAATCCTGGATCCGCCACTGCTCTGGATGCTAACATCTAGGGTTGACTCAGGTCCTGGATGAAGACTCTGAGGGTCCTGTTGGTTTGGTTTCTTCAGGTTAAATGGACTTGTGGACTGTACTTATTAGGGTTAGTCCAGGTGGTCTCCAGTGACGGTTGTGTGGACCGGCAGCTCGGCTCCTCTGGTGGTCCCGGACCTTCTAACAGAGAGACCCCACTGTGGAGCTCTTCAGGGGGATAGTCAGAGGGTCTCTCTGCTTCGACTCACCTGATTGGACGGACTGAGACACCTGAAACCTTCAGGATGGTGGACATTGAGTACCAGGACTGCCAGGACCGGACCCCTGCTGCTCGAGTCTCGAGTCTTTCTTTGTTGTTTTTAAGAAGTTGACAGATTTCTCTCTGAGTTTTAGCCTCGTCTTCGAGGAGGACGGTCCTCGTAAGTCAGAGGACACAAACATCTGAGAAACATCCTGTGCAGGACAGCCAGAACTGACCCGGTCCAGTTCAGACTTTTACTGTCCCCCTTAGTCCACAGAGTTCACCCAGGTCCCCTACAGGACTGACCTGGTCCAGTTCAGTTTGATGTCAGTGCAGCAAAAAGTGAGAGACAGACAGACAGTTTAAAGAGACACCTGAGAGACAGACAGGGAGACAGACAGGGAGACAGACAGACAGGGAGTCCCTCACCTCCTTCTGCTCCTCTTCCTCCTCGTCTCCATGCAGCAGGCAGGACGGCTGGCAGGGAGAGGTTTTCTTTTCCTCCTCTGTTCAGTCAATGCATCGTCTGGTGTGTCACAGGAGGGGAGGCAGGGGTGGGGCGGGGGGAGGCAGGGATACAGCAGACAGCCGAGGAGGAGGAGGAGGAGGAGGAGGAGTCATCTGAGGACAGGCAGGGAGCTAATGCGGCTAACTGCCCTGCAGAGGCTGACAGACAGCATCACAACTCGTCTCTGCAGAGACGACACTCTGCAACGGTGACAATCAGTCAGGGGAACACACTGCAACACACACGTGTAGACACACACACCTGCACAGATCTCTGTGTGTGTGTTTGTGTGTGTGTGGCATGACTTGGCCAAACGCTCAGCGCTGCATTGCAGTGCTGAGGCTGAGTTGGCATGCCGAGTACATAGTGTGCATACTGCGACTGTGTGCCAGCCTCACACACACACACACACACACACACACACACACACACACAC